CCGGTGGCTTAAAACTCACGCCAGGCGCGTGTGCGTGCATGCCCAAGATCCCGAGAGGAGAATGGAGGAGAAGGGATTGCGGCGTGACCATCCCCCCTGGGGGGTGATTTCTTGCTTTCTGTCTCTATGTCTCTCTCTGTCTGTCTGGCGAGCGCACGCGCCCTACAGTGAAAATCTCTCCAAAAAAAAAAAAAAAAAGAAAGTCATAGAATATTTTAAACAGTTTCCACATTGTATTAACTATAATACAAATAAGAAAAGGGAAATGGTTTATAAGAAAATAATTTATATTTCAATCTCTAAATGCCTGGGTGTAACATTCCCCAGGAGATTCGCGGAAGTTATCAGGGACTTGTACATTTTAGAATGAGTAAATGTGGATTTAGGAGAAAGGGAAAAAAATCAGACACACAAAGTGCAGGCAAATGATAGGCAAAGGCCTAAGGGTGAGATTTTCCAAAACAATCTAGGAAAGTGCACCACAAACCAGGGTGTACCATATTCACTTGCATTACAAGACAGTTACATTCCTGGATAATTGGGGGGGTGGTGGTGGATATTAAAACCAAGAGAAAAAAAAAAACAGTTTATATGTGAACTATACCTAGAGTCTAGGTTCAGTTAATTACAAGTCCAGAGTCCTAGGGAATGTGGAACATATGTTGGTTGTTTAGGACTGTCCAGAATATCACTGGGTAGCCAGCATCCTCGTCCGCCACCCCTAAATATTAGTACACCCTACACCCCAGCATTGTGGTGACCAAAAATGCTCCTACAGATTTCCATAGCATTCCCTAGGAGGTAGTAACACCTTTGTCGAGAACCAAGCGCTGGTGCTTAAGCAGGGTACATAGTGTACCTGTGTGAATGAGGCAGAGTACAAGACATACCTTCACCTCCGTGCATGCACACACGCACACACACATGTGCATGGATGTGTGCATGTGTGGTTCTTATGCATGAGCAGGTTGCTGCCCGCAGGTCTCCGTAGTAGTAGGCTATGTACTGGTGGGAATGCGGGAGTGTGTAGGTATCTGGGCATAGTAGATGTGCATGTGTTCTGCACATGCACATGTTGTTAGCCTCCGCTGGGTCCAGGCTATGGCTGCCAGGCTGCACGCAGAACCCTTTCCTCGCTTACGGAATCTCCCTAGCTTTATCTATAGCACTTGCAGGATCTCCCAATTTTTCCAGGGTTTTGTGTGTATGTTGCTATTGTATTTTGGGTTTTGTTGTTTGTTTTGTTTGTTTGTTTTAGTTTTAGCTTTTGTTTTCACTGAACTCTGGGCTACACATTATCCACTTTCTTGGTCTTAGTGTGTCACTTTGTGTGTCTCTCTATTTCCATCTATATTCTCTGTCTCTCTTCAGATCCCCTCTTTATCTCTCACTCCCCACCCCACCTCCATCTCTCACTCTTTGTTTATATCTTTCTCTCTTTGTTTCTTGGTGTTATTCCTTCCCCTATTACTCTGCACCCTTTTTCTCTCTTTCTCCATTTCTCTCCTCTGTCATGCTAATTGTTTGTCTCTTTTTTCTCATCCTCATTTTCATTCTTCTTCTCCATTCTGTCTCTATTTCTATCTCTTCCTGTGTATCTGTAAGGCTCTCTCCCTTTTTTGTTTCTGTCTGTCTCTCTCTTTCTCCCTCTTATGTCTCCATCTATCTCTTACACACTTCTATCCTCCTCTGCCACTCTGTCTCTCCGATTCTTTTAGATTCAGTCTCTGCCTTCTCTCAAGGCTAAGGAGTGTGTGTGTGTGTGTGTGTGTGTGCACACATACGGGTACACATTTACACATACACTCAGTCATGGACTCCTCCATGATTCCAAGGGGGCTATCAGGCCTTGAGAGGCTAAAGGGGGGCCTAGCATCCCCACTTCTCCCCCATCCCTGCCCTAGGGCCCTCTTGAATTGGAGGACTGACATTGATTCTGAGACTCCAAGGTGTCATCTAAAAAGCCTAGTCCTAGGTGACTACGGCAGACCAGGTTAGATTAAGCTGGGAAAGA